ATTCTGGGAGTTGAAGTCCACCCATCTTCAAGCTGCCAAGGCTGAGAAACACTGGCCTAGATGGTCCTTGTGATGTCTCTGATTCCTCAATTCTCTGTTCAGTCATGCACTGTCAGGTGTTCCAGAAATCGCAGGTGATGATTTTTGCTCTTGCCAGATGATATTCACATCGTCTTGACCCTCGCTTGCTGCCTTTAAGCAAAACATGGGGACTGTCCACGTTCAACCGTGTTCTTGGGGCTCACATCAGCTGACGTGGATGTTTGACCCTTAAAAATAATGGGGGAAGGCTCATTCACTCATGCACACCACCCCAACGAGGGGTGAGCAGAGACAGGTGCAGGATCTGGCGGTCTCTGTTTGGGCCGAGACCAAAAGGTGCTAGCCAGTCAGTCTTTGAATTAATAGCTCTCTCTTCCTTTTCCAGCTCCAGCGGTTTTGTACCCAAATCTCGCTGATCTCAATGATTATATGGGCCTCTCTCTTTCCAGCGAGGAGATCCAGAAGAACCTGGGTCTTGTCCCGACAGGCAATACTGTAAGCATTTCTGAGTGCAACCTTCAGAGGTGGAAAGGTGTTATGTGCCTTTTTTCCCCATAGTTTCATGTTCATGGAGGAGGTGGGTTAGTTTGCCCAATTACGCCCCTTATGGATGGCCAACCGATAATGATTGTTTCTTCCTATACTTGTGTCCCCGCTTCTAACCTACAAATTAATCTCTGCAGAAGAAGGATACAGAACATCTGTGATGGATGGAAGCTCTGTGCCTCCATGGCTACAGAGGGGAGGGCTATCTGGCTCTCCATTCTCCATTAAGGAGGGTGACACCATCAGCACTGTTATCAGACAGCTCTCTGAGGGTCAGGTGGCTGCTTGTGACTCACTGCTGGACGTGCTAAGATGTTGCTTAGGAGGAACATCTCTTAGATGCTGCTTGACAGCAAGCCTTCTCTGGCACTGAAGTACCAAGATTAGGTCTGCGTCCCACCAGCATGCCACCATCCGGACGTGTAGGGACAACAGGGTGGTTATGAAACTGTTCCCAGCTGACAAAGTTAGGTTATTGGCTTCCTAGTTGGCGTCAGTAAATATTACTTAACCAAAGTTCTTGAGTTTCTGGTGAGTGTGTTTAAGTGGTTTGGTCCTGCTGGTGGTTGAAGTTTAACCTGGGATCTTCAAGGACCTTTTTGATCTGGGGAGAAGTATTATTTCTTTCTGCATTGCTTCTTCAACTTGGCAGGCCGTGGCTCCATCTTCCTCCGCTCCAGGCCTGTGGGTGGCTCCCGTGACAGGAAGTGATGTGGGGATACGTCGAGCAGAGATCAAACCAGGCTTGCGCGAGATCCATCTATGCAAGGATGAGTGTGGGAAGATAGGACTGAAGCTGAGAAACATTGATAAGGTCGGTTTTGAAAAGGGCTCCTAGGCAGCAAAAGTGTAAGATCTGGGGAAATCTACAGTTTCTGGACCATCGCTGGACCACCACCATCCTCCACCTGGTCTTCTTAGGTGGATCTGGATGTAGGATTTAAATAGTAAGACTGATAGGAGTTAGCAGGTTTTATCTGCCACGGATTGGCTTTATCTCCTTTGAGAGCTGGCTAAGCCAGTGATAAAATACTTCATTTATTTGAATTGATTTAAGGACGGGATTATTTTTCTAACTGTGACCTACTGAGTTAATCCCTTGGAAATGTTGCTCTTCATCTTTGAGTCAAAAATTTAAGTTTCCTAACAAAATGCAAGAGGACCATCCTCTAGAGCAGTGTTTCTCAACCTTGGCCACTTTAAGATGTGTGGACTTCAACTCCCAGAATTTCCTTTCCCGCCATGGGTTCTGGGATGGGATTCCTGGGGGTTGAGATCCCACATACTCTAAGGTGCAAGGGGTGGGAGATCCGG